CACGTGGGGGGTGCGGCGATGTTTTTAGCGCCCCCTGTAAGGAATTTTGAGAAGTTTCTCGCTGTGTCACATTCGGCCGTCATTTTATACAACACGTGACAGGTTTGGGGGTGTGTTTTACTCAGAAGAAGCTCCTCCCCCGCGCCGGTTTGCGCGATCTAATATTTGCGCCTCATCGTCAGCGCATTGGACAGTAACTCGGCTGCTGCTGTCTGTCATGTCACAGGTTGGCCAGCAGAGGGCAGGCAGGGACGGTGTCATGTGAGCAGATCAGTCCTCCAGTCCTCCCCCTCCGGGCCGCTCTGTCTTCTCTCAGCTGTCTCTGTGGTTTCCGGGTGACACTCCGCCCCGCTCTGCTCTCTCTCGCTAGTTCCGGAAGCCGCTCTAGCCAGCGCTGTCAGTGCGGAGTTCCGCCGTCTCTATGGTTGGCCGCTCCGGCCGCTTGTTGTCAGTCTCGATGGTGTGAGGAGCTGGGAAGAGCCGGGATGGCGGAGGAAGCGGCCCGGGCCGAAGATGTGACAGACCTCCCCGGGGGAGAGGAGACCGAGTGACCGCCCGAGGAGGGTGAGGAGATGGGGGGAGGACTGACATGGGTGTGACACTGGAGAACTACAACTCCCAGCCTGCTCTGCACCACAACTCCTATGTTCTGTAAAGGGACTACAACTCCCAGCCTGTAGACTACAACTCCCAGCATTCCCCCCCTGTAGAGGAACTACAACTCCCAGCCTGCCTCCCCCCATAGAGGAACTACAACTCCCAGCCTGCCCTCCCCCCCCCCCCGCCTGTAGATTACAACTCCCAGCCTGCCTCCCCCTGTAGAGGAACTACAACTCCCAGCCTGCCCTCCCCCGTCTGTAGACTACAACTCCCAGCCTGCCCCCCCCCGTCTGTAGACTACAACTCCCAGCCTGCCCCCCCCCCCGTCTGTAGACTACAACTCCCAGCATTCCCCCCCTGTAGAGGAACTACAACTCCCAGCCTGCCTCCCCCCATAGAGGAACTACAACTCCCAGCCTGCCTGTAGACTCCCCCCCCCCCCCCCGCCTGTAGATTACAACTCCCAGCCTGCCTCCCCCCGTGTAGAGGAACTACAACTCCCAGCCTGCCCTCCCCCGTCTGTAGACTACAACTCCCAGCCTGCCCCCCCCCCCCCGTCTGTAGACTACAACTCCCAGCCTGCCCCCCCCCCGTCTGTAGACTACAACTCCCAGCCTGCCCCCCCCCCCCCCTCCCGTCTGTAGACTACAACTCCCAGCCTGCCCTCCCCCGTCTGTAGACTACAACTCCCAGCCTGCCCTCCCCCGTCTGTAGACTACAACTCCCAGCCTGCCCCCCCCCCCCGTCTGTAGACTACAACTCCCAGCCTGCCCCCCCCCCCCCCGTCTGTAGACTACAACTCCCAGCCTGCCCCCCCCCCCGTCTGTAGACTACAACTCCCAGCCTGCCCCCCCCGTCTGTAGACTACAACTCCCAGCCTGCCCCCCCCGTCTGTAGACTACAACTCCCAGCCTGCCCCCCCCGTCTGTAGACTACAACTCCCAGCCTGCCCCCCCCGTCTGTAGACTACAACTCCCAGCCTGCCCCCCCGTCTGTAGACTACAACTCCCAGCCTGCCCCCCCCCCCCCGCCGTCTGTAGACTACAACTCCCAGCCTGCCCCCCCCCCGGTCTGTAGACTACAACTCCCAGCCTGCCCCCCCCCCGTCTGTAGACTACAACTCCCAGCATGTCCTATCATTCTCCTGTAGGGGGGTACAGTCTGCTTGTGGTATGCGGTCCATGTCTGACCCCAAGAGCTGACACTCTGTAGTAATACTAATGAGCCGTCCCCTCATCTCCTGGATACAGACTCTGGTCTCGGGTGTCAGGGCCGCCCAGGCTGAAAGTTTCCGTGTAACTGATCCCGGCCGGCATTGTTCTCCACACAGTGAGACTAAACAAACACCCCGACCTCGCCCCCCCCCTCCCCCGACCTCGCCCCCTCCCCCCTTCCCCCCCCACCTGGGCCGGAGCATGGACGCCAACGGGGCGCCACATCACTGCAGGTACTTTGCTGGGGGGGGATTCTGCTGAGCGTTGGATTGGGGGTACTGAGGGGGGCAGATTACAAGTCCCGCCTCCTCCTGCTGCCCCCTGTCGTGGTGGTCCCCGCCTCCTGCTGCCCCCTGTCGTGGTGGTCCCCGCCTCCTGCTGCCCCCCTGTCGTGGTGGTCCCCCGCCTCCTCCTGCCTGCCCCCTGTCGTGGTGGTCCCCGCCTCCTGCTGCCCCCTGTGTCGTGGTGGTCCCCGCCTCCTGCTGCCCCCTGTCGTGGTGGTCCCCGCCTCCTGCTGCCCCCTGTCGTGGTGGTCCCCGCCTCCTGCTGCCCCCTGTCGTGGTGGTCCCCGCCTCCTGCTGCTGGCCCCCCCCCCCGCCTCCTGCTGCCCCCCCGTGTTGTCCCCGCCTCCTGCTGCTGGCCCCCTGTGGTGGTGGTCCCCGCCTCCTGCTGCTGGGTCCCCCCTCCTGCTGTGGTGGTGGTCCCCGCCTCCTGCTGCTGCCCCCTGTGGTGGTGGTCCCCGCCTCCTGCTGCTGCCCCCCTGTGGTGGTGGTCCCCGCCTCCTGCTGCCCCCCCCCCCCCCTGTCGCGGTGGTCCCCGCCTTCTGCTCCCCCCCCCCCGCCCTCCGTCGCCGTGGTCCCCGCCTCCTGCTGCTGCCTCCCCCCCCCCCCCCGTCGTCGTGGTCCCCACCCCCTCCTCCTGCTACCCCCCCGTCGTGATGGTCCCTGCCTCCTGCTGTGGGCCCTGTGGCGGTGCTGTGTGTGCTGTGGGGGGCGGTACTCCTGGGTTTGGTTATTTCCCAGCATTGCGGCTCCCCGGAGTTCATGTTATTTCTTCATCTCGATGTTCCTCCTGCTGAGTGTCAGGTGATGGCGTCTCGCTGGTCACATGTCACTATGGAGGGTGAAACATGTCAGTGGTGTCCCCGGGGGGAGGGGGGGATATCATCACATGATCCGCACTCACACACTGCAATGTGAAAATGATCGCCGACATTCTTCTGTAAATCGATTATTCTGCTTCTGAAAATCCGTTCCTTCATTTTTCCCACCCAGAGAAGACTTTGTATTCATTCAGAAAATGCTGAGAGAGAGCGCCCTCCTCTGTTCACTGAGCACCAGGACAGCAAGCAGGTCCACCCTGTACCGGGACCCTCCACATGTGACATCCATCCCCCGTCTGATTCGATGTTTATAAACAATGTTACTTCCGAAAATTGTATCATCTCCATCTCCCGTCTGATCGATGTTTATAAACAATGTTACTTTGTATCTCTCCATCTCCCGTCTGATCGATGTCTATAAACAATGTTACTTTGTATCTCTCCACATCTCCCGTCTGATCGATGTTTATAAACAATGTTACTTTGTATCTCTCCATCTCCCATCTGATCGATGTTTATAAACAATGTTACTTTGTATCTCTCCATCTCCCGTCTGATCGATGTTTATAAACAATGTTACTTTGTATCTCTCCATCTCCCGTCTGATCGATGTTTATAAACAATGTTACTTTGTATCTCTATCTCCCGTCTGATCGATGTTTATAAACAATGTTACTTTGTATCTCTCCATCTCCCCCGTCTGATCGATGTTTATAAACAATGTTACTTTGTATCTCTATCTCCCGTCTGATCGATGTTTATAAACAATGTTACTTTGTATCTCTATCTCCCGTCTGATCGATGTTTATAAACAATGTTACTTTGTATCTCTCTATCTCCCGTCTGATCGATGTTTATAAACAATGTTACTTTGTATCTTTCTATCTCCCGTCTGATCGATGTTTATAAACAATGTTACTTTGTATCTCTATCTCCCGTCTGATCGATGTTTATAAACAATGTTACTTTGTATCTCTCCATCTCCCGTCTGATCGATGTTTATAAACAATGTTACTTTGTATCTTTATCTCCCGTCTGATCGATGTTTATAAACAATGTTACTTTGTATCTCTATCTCCCGTCTGATCGATGTTTATAAACAATGTTACTTTGTATCTCTATCTCCCGTCTGATCGATGTTTATAAACAATGTTACTTTGTATCTCTCTATCTCCCGTCTGATCGATGTTTATAAACAATGTTACTTTGTATCTCTATCTCCCGTCTGATCGATGTTTATAAACAATGTTACTTTGTATCTCTCTATCTCCCGTTGATCGATGTTTATAAACAATGTTACTTTGTATCTCTCCATCTCCCCGTCTGATCGATGTTTATAAACAATGTTACTTTGTATCTCTATCTCCCGTCTGATCGATGTTTATAAACAATGTTACTTTGTATCTCTCTATCCCCCATCTGATCGATGTTTATAAACAATGTTACTTTGTATCTCTCTATCTCCCGTCTGATCGATGTTTATAAACAATGTTACTTTGTATCTCCATCTCCCGTCTGATCGATGTTTATAAACAATGTTTACTTTGTATCTCTCCATCTCCCGTCTGATCGATGTTTATAAACAATGTTACTTTGTATCTCTATCTCCCGTCTGATCGATGTTTATAAACAATGTTACTTTGTATCTCTCTATCTCCCGTCTGATCGATGTTTATAAACAATGTTACTTTGTATCTCTCTATCCCCGTCTGATCGATGTTTATAAACAATGTTACTTTGTATCTCTCTATCTCCCGTCTGATCGATGTTTATAAACAATGTTACTTTGTATCTCTATCTCCCGTCTGATCGATGTTTATAAACAATGTTACTTTGTATCTCTGTCTATGAACAATGTATCATATGGAGGACAGAAGCAGCTACTATATTTACACAGCAACTGACGGCTGTCATTTTGACAGCTGGAACTGCCGCCAGGGGATGGGGAGCCAGGCAGGAGAAGTTTGGTGGGATTTTTTTCGGGTGTGTAGCCCCTCCCCCAACGATTGCCGATCCTTTGCTCCATGCCCCTAATCGATCGTCCTTTTCTCTTCCTAGATCCAGTTTTGTGGGCGGATCGTGCGATGGGTGACGCCATGGTGGAACCGGCTTCTTCTAAGCTCTCCAGTCAGGGGAACGGCGGGAGTCCTCTCTCGGCCATCGCAGAGGGCGTGGCGGACATGTCTCTGGTGATCGACCCGGACGTGGCGCAGAAGGCGTGTCAGGACGTCCTGGAGAAGGTGAAGCTCATGCACAGCTCCTCGGAGAACCTGGACAGCCTGGGGGACGGCGATCACGTCCCGAACGGGGACTCGAAGGCGGGGGAGCCCACGGAGGCCGCGGCCTCCATCACCAGCTCCAGAATCTCCGAGGAGGACGAGGTGGACATCAACTGCGTGAAGAACGCCCGGCGGAAGCAGAAGAACTCGGGCAAGCAGTCGTGGCTCCTGCGCCTCTTCGAGTGCAAGCTCTTCGACATCTCCATGGCCATCTCGTACCTTTACAACTCCAAGGAGCCCGGGGTGCAGGCCTACATCGGCAACCGGCTCTTCTACTTCAAGAACGAGGACGTGGACTTCTACCTGCCGCAGCTCCTCAACATGTACATCCACATGGACGAGGACGTGGGCGACGCCATCAAGCCGTACGTGGTCCACCGCTGCCGGCACAGCATCAACTTCTCCCTGCAGTGCGCCTGGCTGCTCGGGGCCTACTCCTCGGACATGCACATCTCCACCCAGCGCCATTCCCGGGGCACCAAGCTGCGCAAACTCATCCTCTCCGACGAGCTCAAGCCGGCTCACAAGAAGCGCGAGCTGCCCCCGCTCAGCCTGACCCCGGACACCGGCTTGTCCCCGTCCAAGAGGACCCATCAGAGGTCCAAGTCCGACGCCACCCCGCCAGCATCAGCAGCTCAGCAGCAACCTGAAGAGGACGGCGAGCAACCCCAAGGTGGAGAACGACGACGAGGTAAGGCGCCGTGGGGGACGTGGGGCGGTTTTTTGAGATGAATGATGGCCGCCTGTGAGTGTGTCGGGCTGGGCAAGGAGCGGTGAAATCTAGGCGAGGAACCGGGCGTGTGGGACCGGTGTGTATGGGGTACCTGCTGGGTCTTGACCGGGCGCTTAGACAGCCACGCGGGTGCAGGCGCATGCGGTGGAGTATGAGGTGGCTGTGCCCGTGCGACCGCTGGGACCCTACTGACATGAATGGGACTGCCTGCATGCGGGTGAACATGGGCCTAGGCTTCGCTTCGCCTGTGGGAACAAGGCCTTGCTTGAAACTAAATTCCAAAAATTCAGCAGCTTTGCCAAAAAAAAAACCAAAAGTGCGGGCGCGCTATGAGTCCAATTAGGTGCATGCTACCTCCTGGACTTATCTGAGAAGGGTTTATGGCAGTGCCGGAAAATACAAAGAGAAGCACGCACAGCGGCTATGCCCACCACTCCCCTCTGCTGCCCATTCACAGAAGCCTTTGTATTTTTGTGAATGAGTTTGAAGAATACAAAGGCTTCTGTGAATGGGCAGCAGAGGGGAGTGGTGAGCATAGCCCCTGTGCATGCTTCTCTCTGTATTTTCTGGGACTGCCATAAACCCGTCTCATATAAGTCATAGAGATAAGTCCAGGAGGTAACATGCACCTAATTGGACGCACAGCGGCTGTGCTCGCCCTTCCCCTTTGCTGCCCATTCACAGAAGCCTTTGTATTCAAACTCATTCACAAAATACAAAGGCTTCTGTGAATGGGCAGCAGTGGGGAGTGGTGAGCATAGCTGCTGTGCGTCCAATTATGTGCATGTTACCTCCCGGACTTATCTCTATGACTTATGTGAGACGGGTTTATGGCAGTCCCGGAAAATACAGAGAGAAGCACGCACAGCGGCTATGCCCACCACTCCCCTCTGCTGCCCATTTACAGAAGCCTTTGTATTTTGTGAATGAGTTTGAATAATACAAAGGCTTCTGTGAATGGGCAGCAGAGGGGATTGGTGAGAATAGTCTCTGTTCGTCCAATTTGGTGCATGTTACCTCCTGGACTTATCTCTATGAATTTTACGAGACGGGTTTATGGCAGTCCCGGAAAATACAGAGAGAAGCATGCACAGGGGCTATGCTCACCACTCCCCTCTGCTGCCCATTTACAGAAGCCTTTGTATTTTGTGAATGAGTTTGAATAATACAAAGGCTTCTGTGAATGGGCAGCAGAGGGGGAGTGCTGAGCACAGCCACTGTGCGTCCAATTAGGTGCATATGGACTTATCTCTATGACTTATATGAGACGGGTTTATGGCAGTCCCGGAAAATACAGAGAGAAGCACACACAGGGGCTATGCTCACCACTCCCCTCTGCTGCCCATTCACAGAAGCCTTTGTATTTTGTGAAGGAGTTCAAATACAAAGGCTTCTGTGAATGGGCAGAAGGAGGGAGGGGCATGCATAACAGTTCTAGTGACTCTGCTCCTGCAGGAACTGAGCCCCATGTGACCAGCGCCGGAGCTCCGGAACTTATCTTCTGAATAATAGAGATCCGTCTACACTTTGGACGACCTCGTTAGACCGCGGTATGCCTGCAGCTGAATTCCTGGAGTTCCTCTTTAATGTCCAAGCTGCAACTCCACCGTCTGGTCATGCGACCGCAGCCCCATCTCACGGCCGGCGACCCCATAGAGAAGAGCCACGCTTTGGGTGTTCCCAAATGGCGGCATGACGCAGTTCCCCCAACTCCATTCAAAACCGTTCACTTCATTCTTGGGTAGATTTGGACATCGGGAATACTTGACCTCGTTTGGGGGGAGAGTCGCATCACTTCCTGTCCCTATGACACCAGGGCAAGAAATGAGGGGGGTCAGTTGTCACTGGGAAGGATGAGCAGACATTAAAAATGACCTAATATGTGAAGCAATAAGGGTGCCTCACAAATCTCATGGGGGTGGGGCATGCTTGAACCCCCGAAACGGGTTGGCTCTCCTTGCCCCAAAAATTGTGTTGGACCCTATGAGCAGTGCTGTGGTGCCCTCCTCACATATTTGGATGTTTTTAGGACCCCGCTTGTTTTGGGGGTGCTTTGGTACATGGGAGCAACACTACCGAAGCAATTCATCGTGGAGGCGGCCATTAACGATTCTTGATATCAACAGATCTAGCAGCTCTTGTGGATGTCCCCTGGAGAACACCTGACAGAGATTCTAACACTTCCTGAAAATGCTTTTGTCCGTGTCTCCACTGGGAGAGTATTCCAAGAACTTCCTGTCTCGGCAGGAAGTGAGGAGAAATCTCCCAAATGGGGACACAAGCTGAGAGAAAAAAAAAAAAAACCAGGCTTGGTAAGTTTTGGGTGGAAGTCGGAGATGGCAGAGACACCGAGCAGTTGAGTTGAGTGTTTGGTGGGGGTTGTTTTTGGCAACATTGTAATCCTCTTACAGCAAAAAGAGATGATGATTGGATCTGGAGGTAAGATTGTATTGTGTGTGGTCAGCTGTGTCACGGGAAAGATCTCCTGAGCTTGGGGCCGCCTGCTACGATGTAGGAATAACGACCTCTGGCCCTGCTATTCCCCCCCTCACGAACCCTTGATGGCCTCACTGCAGGAAATATGGCCCTCAGCTTGGCCCTTCCTCCCAAAAACCATCCATGACCACACTGTAGGAATGATGGCCCTCAGCTTGGCCCTTCCTCCCAAAAACCATCCATGACCACACTGTAGGAATGATGGCCCCCAGCTTGGCCCTTCCAAAAACCATCCATGACCACACTGTAGGAAATATGGCCCTCCGCTTGGCCCTTCCTCCCAAAAACCATCCATGACCACACTGCAGGAAATATGGCCCTCAGCTTGGCCCTCCCAAAAACCATCCATGACCACACTGTAGGAATAATGGCCCCCAGCTTGGCCCTTCCTCCCAAAAACCATCCATGACCACACTGTAGGAATGATGGCCCCCAGCTTGGCCCTTTCCTCCCAAGTCTTGTCCACATCTGAGATGTAAGAATTCCAACCCCCAGCTCGGCCCTTTCCTCCCAAGTCCTGTCCACTTCTGAGATGTAAGAATTCCAACCCCCAGCTCGGCCCTTTCCTCCCAAGTCCTGTCCACTTCTGAGATGTAAGAATTCCAACCCCCAGCTCGGCCCTTTCCTCCCAAGTCTTGTCCACGTCTGAGATGTAAGAATTCCAACCCCCAGCTCGGCCCTTTCCTCCCAAGTCTTGTCCACATCTGAGATGTAAGAATTCCAACCCCCAGCTCGGCCCTTTCCTCCCAAGTCTTGTCCACGTCTGAGATGTAAGAATTCCAACCCCCAGCTCGGCCCTTTCCTCCCAAGTCTTGTCCACTTCTGAGATGTAAGAATTCCAACCCCCAGCTCGGCCCTTTCCTCCCAAGTCCTGTCCACTTCTGAGATGTAAGAATTCCAACCCCCAGCTCGGCCCTTTCCTCCCAAGTCTTGTCCACATCTGAGATGTAAGAATTCCAACCCCCAGCTCGGCCCTTTCCTCCCAAGTCTTGTCCACATCTGAGATGTAAGAATACCAACCCCCGCTCGGCCCTTTCCTCCCAAGTCTTGTCCACGTCTGAGATGTAAGAATTCCAACCCCCAGCTCGGCCCTTTCCTCCCAAGTCTTGTCCACATCTGAGATGTAAGAATTCCAACCCCCAGCTCGGCCCTTTCCTCCCAAGTCTTGTCCACATCTGAGATGTAAGAATTCCAACCCCCAGCTCGGCCCTTTCCTCCCAAGTCTTGTCCACATCTGAGATGTAAGAATTCCAACCCCCAGCTCGGCCCTTTCCTCCCAAGTCTTGTCCACGTCTGAGATGTAAGAATTCCAACCCCCAGCTCGGCCCTTTCCTCCTAAGGACTATACATGACCACACTGCAGTAATAATGGCTCGGCCCTTTTTTCCCGAAAACAGTTCATATTGTAGGAATAATAACCCTCAGCTTCCCTCTTCCTCCGAAGAACCATCCATGTCTATGCTGTAGGAATGATGATCTATGTGTTGGCCCTCTCCTCCCAAGTACCGTCCATGTTGTAGGAATTACCGATCCTCAGATTGCCCTTCCTGCCCCCCCAAGAACCATCCAAGTCCATGATGTAGAAATACTGGCTTTCATATTGCCTATTCCTCCCAAGAGTCCATGCTGTAGGAATACCCACCCTCCGCTTGAGCCCCTCTTCAAGAACCATCCATGTCCATGCTGTAGGATTTACAATTTGTGTCTTGGGCCTCCCTCCGCCCCCCCCAAGACCCATCCATGTCCATGCTGTAGGAATAAGGACCCTCAGCTTGCCCCTTCCTTCCCAAGAACCATCCAGGTTCATGCTGCCATGCTGTAGGAATTTTGACCCTCAGCTTGCCCCCCCCCCAAGACCCATCCATGTCCATGCTGTAGGAATAAGGACCCTCAGCTTGCCCCCCCCCCCAAGACCCATCCATGTCCATGCTGTAGGAATAAGGACCCTCAGCTTGCCCCTTCCTCCCCAAGACCCATCCATGTCCATGCTGTAGGAATAAGGACCCTCAGCTTGCCCCTTCCTTGCCAAGAACCATCCAGGTTCATGCTGCCATGCTGTAGGAATTTTGACCCTCAGCTTGCCCCCCCCCAAGACCCATCCATGTCCATGCTGCAGGAATAAGGACCCTCAGCTTGCCCCCCCCAGAACCAAGTACAGTCCTCCCCCCCCAGTCCCAAGTGCCGTTGGGATGACACCCGGCTTCCCCTGTAACCCTGCGTTATCCAAGAACAATGCACCTTTCAGGGAGCGGCTGTGTGGGACCCGATACATAAACCGTCCTCATTCATTCAGTGCCAGTCGCCTCCCTCTCCTCCTGCAGCTCCGGGAGGATGGCATTCCCTTCTCTGTGTCCAGCTATGAGGGTTCATTCTGGATGAGGAGCGGAGGGCTAGTTACTGTCCTGAATGAGGGGAAATCACAACATCCGTAACGGGGGAGATACAGCTGACCGCACTGGATG